ACTTGTCCCCTCTAACTCTATGGGACAAGTGGAAGAATACCCTGCGAGCAAGGTTGGAATACGTTTTTGAGTGCAAATATGCACACCCGGTACAAACGTCCCAAAGAAAGATCAGTAGGCAGGCTTTTAGCCAGACATTGAAAACTGACCGTCCAGAAGGCATGTTTTGTCATAAAATTATAAGAGATTAAGTGAATTTTCCTGTTATGTACTCCAAAAATGGGCGTCCATAGGACGGCTGGACACCCTTCTGGCTAAAACCTTGTAAGTAGGTAATAGCCAGCGCAAGCCTTATTGTACAATTATTAGAGTGGACTCTATTGAAATGAACTTTCCTTAAAGGGCCAACCATTAATTGACTTTTGAGGGGGTAGTATGGGTGATTTGGTATTTTCCTAAACCTCTAGTGATAGAATTTTTCCCTAACATACAACAGTGCAAAAATTCTTTCCAGGATTATAGGCCACGAAAGATTTTTTTTTTCATTGTAGGAATTAATTTTTTCCCCCTTGAAATCAGTCTGCAGGATATGTTTTCTGAAATCGCCCATACCCCCCAGAAAGTGAAATAGGTGTATTACAGAAACACAGTTGAGGACTTTGCATAGACTTTCTTTACTTTACAAAGCATGAACTCAAGCAGACTGTAAATTTGCTGACAGAGGTACATGTACCTTATTACACTTTAAAGTTGCAGTTAGGGCTGTCATTTAGATCCTGCTGTTATGTATTGTTATGCAGGCAATGTTGAACTTGTTTTAGCTGTGCTTGTTGGGTTAAAAGGACATACCTTCATAAAAGGGTGTGGCCAGGAAGGGGGCACGACTCCAATAGCGCCCGGTACTTGTTTCGTATACCTATGGTCCACCGATTTATGACGTCACATCTGGTCCGGCCGCGTACTTCTCTCCCGCGGGCAGGAAAATCAAATTTGACAGCAACAGTTTCCTTTCGTCGGTGAGTAACTTTTAATTTACTGCGTTTCTTTTCTTGTTTCTCGTACAGACTAAGACAAATATGTGTTCTCTTGCCTCATTTCATTAGCTAAGTGAAAAGACTAATTTGATACTTTAAAATGTGACGTTTTTTAGCCTTGCCTTCGTTGAAAAAATGTCGTCATTTCTTTTCCCCGAATTTCAGACGATTCTGTAAATCACTGGAAATCATGAGTTCTAGGTAAGCACAACTTTATTCAAATATAATTTCCTGTGGAGTAATAATCCGCGTAGCAAAAAATGGCAAATTAAGCGTTCTTCACTGGTCAGGACTCCGTATCACGCCTCGTTTTTGTGGGAAAGTGGTCCAGAAAATAAGCTGCTTTCTTCATTGACCGTTATGCGTAATAGGTACTTTGCACACATAGTCGAAAAATAGGGTGCTCTTTGTGACCACCTAGACTTTACTTCCACCTTTTTTATATTACTCCTTCGCTTGGGGTTCACCTTTGTCTACTAGAGTAATTTAAGTAGTAATATTATGGTTATCGAAAGGTTATCCAAAAAGATCAAAATTATGCTTATAAAGGGCAGTATTTCCGTGATCAGTTTTTTGTACCCAAGTTTGCTGAACAATCCAAGCAATGTAAAACCATTGACCTGGCCTGACTTTGGATGGCTTTCAGAAATCAAATATCAATGTACAAAAATCTTTCACCATGAACCCTGAGATGTGCTGAGTTAGCTTGTGGTTTATTTTTTATGATTTAGTGAATGTTCCCTGCTAGTGACACAAATCAAATCACAGAAGAAAGGGTGGAGAGCTTATCAGAGATAGGAAACTTAATAAATTTTGACCGTTGAAAATGGAGACTATAACAAGAGGGGCTATGGTAAAAATATTCACAGCCCCTATGGTACAAATGAAATCTCAAGAAGAATCAGATTGAAAGTTGTCAATTTTATTTTCTACGATGGCCCACAACTGTCACATCAAATACAAATTACTCACATCAAAAACAAATTGCTCACATCAAATACAAATTACTCACATCAAATACAAAATCCTGACATCAAAAAAAAGATTAAACGGTCAGTGGTTGGAGAACGAAAACTACGTCCAGTTTTCACTCGGCCTTGACCCGACCGCCATTTTGTTACTGCACATGGTATTTTCGTCGGGATGTCTTGCAGCAACTGCGGGAAAGGTAAGTTAATGATAACGAGTGATGGTCGACAAAGACAAAGATAGCGTAGTGGTTGCTCGAAGGAACCGCACTAAAATTAGGGAGTTTAAGATTCAGGACTCGACGGCAGTGAAATCGTCACTTAAAATACTCCTCCCGATTGTTTCAGGTCGCTCAGTTTGCAAGATGTAGGTGAATGTGTCTGGAGTGAAATTGTTAAGAAATTCATTAAGTTCAAAAGGAGAGACTTCGTTTGTTTGTGTCCTCCTCAAAACTTAAAAACAGGATCCAAAACAGAACATTTCTCGTCGTAGTCATCCGGGGGGGGACTTCCTTATAACAGGCTAATGGGGACGTGCCGCTGGATGGAGTCGCATTTTCATGACTGGAATGACCATAATGGGGTCGCACATTTTTTAATTTTTAGGGGTAAGACAGTTCTTTATAATTACGGGTGGGAAACGTACCAGAATGTTTGTACTGTAGGTGAAACGTAAAGCAGTGGCGGATCCAGGGGAGGGGCCCGGGGGGTTTATGACTGGCCACAGAATAGACTATAATGGGGTAGGGGCCCTAAGAGGCCAGCGGCAAATACCTAGCAAAAATTAACCAAAGTACCCCCCCCCCCGGTAGTCGAGCAATGATGGCAAAGAAATGTACCAAAAGGCGTGATGCCCATTCTTAGGTTATTTACCATATTGCACAAACAGTAGGTTTCTATAAATCTTGTTTCTCTAAAAAGGAGTGCGCTCTGTCTTGAAAAGGTGAATGTCTTGTTTGATGAGGTTCCGGATTACAAACTGTATGGAGTCTTGCTTTTCTTCCAAGAAGTTTTTAATCCTTTCAATTGAATGTTAAACCTATTTAGGATTTAACCAGGATAATCCAGGGCCAAGCACCACCTCTAGTGCACCGGAAGCAAGTTCTATCAAGTCCACCAAATCTGTCAAGACATTTACGGAGTATAAGGCAGCTAAACGCAAGCAGTGGTTTTCTTAAGTCAAAGGTGGGAAGGCTAAAAGTAGAAAGACCTCGACGGCAGACCAGGAAGTGCTCATCTATATTGGTTTGCTCGAGTGGAATGAAAAAGAAATGGTTCTCAAACCAAAGAGGAGAAAAAAGGTGGCCCTGCGAACTTTAAATTCTGCAAAATCTTCACTGGTTCGCCAAAAAGCTGAAGAGAAATGGAAGGAATTTTATAGTAACTTCTATGACGAGAACCAGACCTATCTACTTCTTAATGAAGATGGGTAGAAAGTTCTTTTTTTGCCTGGGACTCGTGAACTGTTTACCTTAAAGCGATACCAGGAGGAACTGGGTAAATATTATAATAGAATTTACCTATATCTGTGCACAAATGAAGACTACAACAATACTGTCATGAGTAGTGATGACAGTGAGGATGTCTCGTTTGCCTAAATATTCCAAGCTTGTTGATGACAGTGAGGATGACAGCATGTCTCGTTTACCTAAATGTTCCAAGCTTGTTGATGACAATGAGGGTGACACTATATCTCGTTTACCTAAATGTTCCAAGCTTGAGAGTGTCCTAGTCGTTACCATACCTGAAGAACAAATTAAACTGGATGAAGAGTTTGCAAGACAATAAGATAATGAGCTGAACCAAGTAGATGTAGAAGTTGAGGTAGTTGTTGAAAACAGTGGTAATCTACAAGTACAATCACGTGATGGGGAAAGTGCTGAAAAACGTACCCAAGGAACCCTTACTGAGCATGTCAGTGTTGTTAAGGAACTCAGCAAAAGTGTTGATGGCAGGTCAGTTCATTATTGTGGTACGCAGGGCTTCCCATTTCACAAGATGCTTGAATCTGTGGCGTTGTGAATCAATGAGAACCAGGCCAGAGAAAGTTTTAAGAGTTCACTTTACAGGTGAAGATGGAATAGACAGTGGTGCCATGGCTAAAGAGGTCCTTGAAAAACCTACAGCAGACATGGGAAATATTATGTTTCCCTCAGGCAGTCCTGTGGATTCAACCTACAATGTACAGAAGGGATATTTACAGTCTTGTGGAGAAATTGCTGCTGTAAGCCTGGCTCAAGGAGGTCCATCACCTTGTGTCTTACAGGGATGTGTTTATGAAAGTATGGTCAACCCAGAAACTGACTTTAAGAGCTTGAATGTAGAGCACATTACAGCAGAGGAGAAGACGATGCTCGAAAATATCCAACATGACTTGGATAACAATCGTGACACAATTGTAGATCATGGTTTCACTGGTGTTAGGGACCGTTCATTTTTTACGAGGTGGGGGGGCTGGTGAAATTGGGGGGGCCGTCACGAAAAAAAAAAAAGACTTAAAAGGGCGGGGAATCCCAAAAAAAACGGAGGGAATAGGTATAGTTTCCAGTACAATATTAAGATTATTGGCCTTCCAGAAAGCGGGACGCAAGAATCGGCCTCCCAAACTGCCCCCCTGTGTATCAGTCTTTTCAAAGCCGCTGGAATTGAAATTTCAAATCAAGACATCGATATCGCCCATCGTATCCCTACCAGAATTGCCACTTCTGGCCCTCGACCAATTGTCTGCAAATTCACTAGAAGAATTATGAAAGAGCAAGTAAGGAATGCACGAAATGAAGCTTGTAAAGTGTCAGCCAATGCGATCGGACTACCGTCCAGTTGTTCCTTGGAAAACGTCAGGCTACTGTTGGCGGATTCAAAGAAATTTCAAAAGAGAAATGGCTTCAAGTTCTGCTGGGCCAAGAACTTTATTATTTATCTTTGACGAACCGAAGATTCTCGCCCGATCCAAATCAAGTGCCACAACGACCTTGTGAACTTTGCAAATCAGGAGGGTTTACCCATGAGTTAAGTACCTTTCACAGATTCCTGAGCAACTGACACTTTATTTTTAGTCTTGACCTATTGAATTTAATGCTTGGAAGTCTCAAAAAACCATTCTCTGTGATCCGTATTTCAGAAACGTGGCTGACTGATTGCACTGCAGAGCTGGTTAATATCACTGGATACAATTTTGTCTCAAACCTTCGCAAATCTAAAACAGGTGGCGGAGTAGGCATTTATTTACAAAACGACCTTCAATACAAACTTCTTAATGAATGCAAATTGTCAGATCCAGAGACAATTGAGTCTTTATTCGTGGAGATTACAGTTCCCCATGGGAAAAAAATCATTCTTGGATTTGTGTATAGACCGCCAAATCAAAACACGGCCTTGTTTCTGGACAAATTTAACGACATTCTTTCTCGTATTTCTAAGGACAACAAACAATGTTATGTTATGGGAGACTTTAACCTCGACCTTGTCCAGTACAACCATCATACACCAACTCAAGAATTTATCGACACTCTATTTTCACACGCATTTATTCCTCTCATCTCCAATCCAACGCGCCTCACCTCTTATTCTGCAACCCTAATCGATAATATATTCACAAATAATCTTTCTCAAAATGTTTTAAATGGTATTGTTCTAAACGATTTATCTGATCACTTACCGGTTTTTGCTTATTTTTCTGGCAAAACTCTGATGCGCGATGGAGAAAATAAAGTATTCATACGCAAGATTACTAACGAAAATTTGCGTAAATGCAACGAAAACGTTTCAAACACAAACTGGGCCTCATTTCTTGATGAAGATCCCAATATGACTATGACAATGTTTCAATGCGTGTAATTAAACACTCACTTCACCTGATTTCTGCCCCTCTGGCCAACATCATAAACCTGTCTTTAAAAAAAGGCATCTTCACTGATAAACTAAAAATTGCTAAAGTGATTCTTAGTTACAAAGCAGATGATCCTAGTCCTTTTACAAACTACAGACCCATTTCTTTGTTGTCCAATTTTTCCAAAGTTTTTGAAAAAGTACTGGATAATCGTATGATTAAATTCGCTGAGCAGTATAATATACTATACCGCTGCCAGTTTGGATTTCGTAAAAACTATTCAACGTCCCATGCTCTAATCCATCTAATAAATAGAATCTCTTTGGCAATTGACCAGCGTGAAACTACTGTAGGGGTTTTCCTAGATCTCTCCAAAGCTTTTGACACTCTTGATCATCAAATCTTATTCACCAAGCTGGAGGACTATGGTATCCGTGATGTGGCTCTGCAGTGGATAAAAAGCTACTTTTCTTGCCGTCAGAAATTCGTCCAAATTAATCAAACTTGTTCCTCAATGCAGACCATTAAGTGTGGAGTTCCTCAAGGATCTACCTTAGGCCCCTTATTCTTCATACTTTACATAAATGATCTTCCTAAAGCCTCCAAGTTAACTGAGCTTCTACTTTTTGCTGACGACACAAGTATCTTTTTTTCACACTCTAAGCCGCCTTCCTGGTGTTTACTGTTTTCAAAGATGAACTCGAGGCAAGAAAATCGCTCAAAGCTTTCTTTCTACAGCCAAAATTATAACTTAATACTCTTCAGAACGTTTTTAATTTCTATTTGCGGAGAGAAGATATCGACTAAAGGCTTTTTAAAGTTCTGTAAGCTTATATCAAACCTCATACTAGATCAGATCATTGTCTCAGATCTTAATACGAACGTGCCTAAACTAGCCTCATAAACTGCGCTCGACTTCGTGAAATTAGATATAAAAAAACAAACACATACACTTTCTACAATAATTACTCAGGCTTACCATTCGAGATGCAGCTCCTGAAAGCTATCAAGTAAGGCCAGAATCGCTTGAGGGACTTTTCAACCCGCATCCAGCAAGGTGAAAAACGAAAACGGTGTCATCCGAAATCGGATTTCCAACTTTGACAAGCGGCGTATTTCTCAACCAAAAATTCAATAAACGAACCAGGCTTAAATAACAGAAGACTGTTGATGGCAGCTGTATTTCATTTTATGCATCCAGGGGAAAAAGACAGTAAAAAACAACACAAGTTGACAAAAAACTCAGTCAGCTTCAGCTACTTTCAGCTGTCAAAGTAAACAAGTTTCAAGATGCTGTATAAATTTTCTGCATGAACCACGTGTCAAATTTTGACCAATCACAGCATAAAAATTGGACGGTCGTAGAGCGTGATCAACACGTGACTATGGTGAGAAAAATGAAAAGCTGTCTTTCCTGCTTTTATTTTTAAATGACTGGCTGAATTTTCGCATCCGAGATAAGTTTGAAATCAAAATGTTAATAGTGCGGGGCCATAGTGACATTAACTCAACACTTTCTGTCATCATGTCATTATTTTGCTGCCGTTCTCTTTGCCTTTGTATTTCTCTTTCGCGTTGCCTTTGTCTATTCATTCTAGCTCTGTCTCGTTTTTCTTGCCGGCGTTTTTCACTATAATTGTCTCTTCTTCTTCTCGCCCTGACTCTCTCTACTTGCCGACTTTCTTTGCTAAAATTTTGTCTTCTTCTTCTACTTCCAACGCATCCTCTTTGGCAATTGTCTTCTCTTGCTCTGCGCGTGTTGACTCTTGCTCTCTGCCGTTCACCTTCTCTTTGCTCTCTGCTTAAAACCTGTCGTCTACACGCTAAAATCTCTCTGCTTTTTGTTTGTTGACATAATAGCTTTCGTAAGTTGTAATAAAAAGTTATAAAGGCTCTGTCGAAAAATCTTTTTGCTAAGTTGCTTTGAAATTTCTCTTTTCAAAACCAGTTGCACGATATAATTGCGCAATGTTGCGCCATGCGATTTCCCGCCAAAAAATCTCTACTTTCCCCTACCCCAAGAGTCCATGCGCTCTACTTTTCACTACTCGAAAAGTCCGTATGGACGGACGTACGCTGACGTCATAACCAAAATTCCTCGGATGGATAGTTTGCCAAATTATCTTAGTTATGGTGCTCCGCTCGCGCGCTTCGTGCACGCAAGGAGCTCCGCTATCAAACATTTTTGTTCTGCGATTACATCACAGCGTTCAGTTCCACGACAACAATTTTCAACACTAGGAAACTATCATTAAAAGATTCTTTATCAGGTTAGTGCTGTGCAATGTCTCTCTGCTCATGTTCCTCTTCGTCATCATCGCCAAGCTCGTCCTCATCGCTCGTGATGCTGCTAGAGTCGCTTTCATCGTTTTCAGTCATAGCATACTCTTCAGGCTACATGAAGCAGTACACGTTATCTCTGACCTCTGGCTTGAGGTTTGTGATAATTCTGCTTCCTGCGGCGTTGCTGAAATTGTTTCCTTGCAAAAGCTGTGCAATGTATGCCGCATCTCGATCAAAAAGCAATTCGGAAACTTTCTCAACGTCGATGCAGCCTTCAGGGACGGCAAGGCAAGGAGGATATAGAAGACATTTTGGAAGATCATTACCTAGCGAGTTTCCCACACAAATACTATACACTCGTTGGACGTTGTTTTCAAACCATTTCTTTTTCTTGCATTCGATTTTCGACAGTTTTCTTTGTTTCTTCTTCCCTTGCTGATGCGGTCTCTTATAGGCCCTTGAAAATACTGCAAAAACTGTCTTTACTTTCTTCTAGTGTCTCTGAATCCTGCGTTACCTTTTGCACCTTAGCCTTGATCCGGGATCCGTTCTGATTAGTCTTCAATAACCTTTATTTTAAGAGGGTGACACCTATTACTATGAAGTATTCTTCCTAGTGGCCCTCACGAACATGACAACTATATTTATCCAAATTCACGAGAGGACTGGAGCCTTATGGACTTGCTGATATCATAAAGAAAAAGCCAGAAATATGCAAGGCACTCTTTGTCATGGGGCATGAAAAGGATGTTGATGCAAATTATGTGTTTCCCCTTATGAAACCATGTTATTCTGTGGAGGGATCAACTAGAAAGGACGTTGAGGAGTCTGTGATGGACAGCTTTCAAGCCGTTTTGATATCTTTGGAAGATGAGCAGAAAATCAGTGGATATACTGAGGTTCTCACTTGGAATTATGATGACGGCGAAGACAGAAGTGAAAGGCAGGAAAGTGAAAAACAGCTGGCGGAAGAATTTCAAACAGCAGATGTTTATGTGGCCGGTGTCTTAGGTTGGCTTACTGGTCAAAGACACCGACCCATTGATGGGGATCCCCTCACAATTATTGTTAACTTTGACCACGATTGTTTGGATCGTAACCCAAAGCACACTATCTGTTTTCCAAGTGTTGCAGCATGTGGAAGGGAGTTAACTCTTCCAGTGTGTAACATGGGTGACACAACAATTTCGCCATACTTTCCTTCTCGCATACTGTAAGGGCCAATCTTTTTTAAGGCCGTAGAGACCTTCAGCATTTCTTGGTTTCTAGCTAAGTCCATTGTGTGTGTTTCATAAAATGGTCATATTCATGCCATTGAACGTGCAACCGTGTTAGTTAAGATTGTGGTTGCAGAGTAGGCATTTTTATTCTTTACATTTTAAAGTTCTTTCCCTACTTGATGATGGTCCATAAACTACAGTGTAAAGTATAGTGGTTTTAAGGGAGGAATGAAGTGGAATGAAATAACTCTTGACAAAGTGATGCCTAGTCTTTAATCAGCTATCTTACATACTGACAAAGTGATGCCTAGTCTTCAAGCAAATATATGTAATTCATGCAACACACACTGCACTTGACTCAATACCTTATGTATATATATATGTGGTACGAAACTAAATGGTAAGAAATAACCAAGTCAAGTCTACAGTTGATTTATCCATCCTCTTATATATTATTTATTTATACATATGAATTTATATAACATAGGATGAGTATATAAATCAACTGTAGACTTGACTTGGCATTTTATTACTCTTTAGTTTCGTAGTATACAACTAGTGTAGCACTCATCAGATAAATCGCTAAATGCCACCCTGCAACACAACACAAATTTCAAATACACGTACAACCGTTGGAAATTTAATACTATCATTTCTACAGAGGATGAGCGGTGATCATATTTGATTTAGTCTTTTCCTTTTGAACATTGTCAACTGCAATTGCTTTGTTTCAAGACCAGGATCAAAGTTACAATAACAGAATACGACAATGGAATGGTTTTCAATAATTATTGTGTTGTGAAACCAAAACCAAAGTATTACTGTGGGAAATAACCAGCCAACTGAATCAAGCAATCAGAACTTGAAGCAAATACATGTGGCCAGCGCCAAGTGCCGGAAAACATGTGTGACTGAGTCGGTTTTCATTTCACTTCTGCCGGATTGGTCGAGAAAGTAACACGATTGTCTAGCCAATGACAGGGTGTAGTTATGAAAAATTTAAGTTATTACAGAATTATTTTCAATACCGAACTGAAAACTGCTCTAATTGAAATCAATTACTTTGATAAGTATTCTTTGTTCAGTACCATTCCTGCGCTGAAAATGACAGCTGTTTTCTTTTTGACATGCACAAAGCTACTGGTTTTGCTAACGAAGGTAGACAAAACTATGAGGAATACCCATGAAGGGCAGCATGCATTAATTTTTTGCACAGTTGAAGTGCTTCTTGCCAATTGTCTGGCAAACGCATTGAAAGATTAATTCTAGCATAATCAAAGTATTCCTGATGTTCATTGTCAGTGCCATCTAACTCTTCAGTTATATGCTGTGTACCAAATTCAGTTTTAGCAGCAGGTACATCAACTAGGTAATCCTTTGCACCATGAAGGTTACAAGAAGAAAAGCGAGTCTGGACGTCCTGGTACAGTGTCATTTCTTGACTCTCGAATTCTGTGTGTGTTCCACTGCTCTTTCACAGAATCAAGTTCTTTTTGCAGTGCTTTGGTAAAACAATACCATAGACTTATCTCAGATGTAGTGTCTACAATACCCTGAAACTCAAAATCGCTAAAAAAATCCTCGCCCATACGCAATGATTTTTTGAATAATATGACCACCAGCCCTCAGTTCTCTGATTCCTTGGGAAGAGACGTATCGACGTGCTTCAGGGTTATCACGAAAGAAAGATTGCATAGCTGCTGCCAGTCCATTTTCAGTGCCCAAATCTGTGATCAGTTCTACAGGACAACCAATTCTGAAACTGCTCTGGCGTAAAAGGTGGCTATTTTGTTTGGTGAGTTATTGGAATGAGTAATTTCCAACCACAAAATCCTCTGGCTAAATCCATCAATTGCACCATGGATAGGAAAGCCCTAACACTTAAGTTTGTCATATCCATCGATATGCCAGGAATAGTTAGGCCCAGGATTCTGATATACTCGTCTTTTTAAGCGATGCGATCCATCTCCTTTAAAAGATCTTGAACAATTACTCTGGGAGTTAGAAGATTTCCTGCCGAATATGACCCGACCAGTCACACCTTAATCTTATATAAAATGGGGAAGTTAGGCTACAGTAACTCAGTCACGAATCAGGTGTGATGCCCGCAGGCGAGAGACGAAATAAAACGTACACTATTAAAGGTGTGGGATCTGGTTGGTGTAATGAGCGAGCCCTCTGATTTGAGTTACAAAGTCAACTCTTTGTAGACCTTAATTGGTCGTTCACCACTAGTTTACAGCTTTAACTTACCTTTCCCACAGTTGCCACAAAAGTTGCAATTGTTGACATTTCTTCCGCAGTTGCTGCAAAACACCCTGACGACAAAACCATGTGCAGGAACAAAATGGTGGTCGGGTCAAGGCCGAGTTAAAACTGGACATAGTTTTCGTTCTCTGACCCCTGACCGTTTAATCTTGTTTTTGATGTCAGGATTTTGTAGTTGATGTGAGTAATTTGTATTTGATGTGAGCAATTTGTTTTTGATGCGAGTAACTTGTATTTGATGTGACAATTGTGGGCCACCATAATTTACACCTTGTTTCCGTTACTCAAATTTATTTCCACATTTAATATTTTAAATTAAGATCACAGTTAGCCTATCAATCAACCATTTTTTCAAGAAATAGCACTGAATGCTCATGAAGTTCCATCAAATAGATTTCAATGATCACCTAAGATTAATTAATTTAATTCCCTTGTAGAAATTAAGTATACTTTAAGTATACTTCAAGTATACTTTATATGTACTTCTCAGAAAAAAAGTACATTTGAAGTATACCTCGTTTGTATTTCCAGAAAAAAAGTATATATTTGACGAATTTACTTCATTTATACTTCAAATACTTAAGTATACTTTAAGTATACTTCTTCAAACTTCAGTGCTTGTGAAAAATAGTTTCGCAAAGAAAAGTGTACTTTAAGTATACTTTGAAACTTAAAGACACATTCTGANTGCTCTGGCGTAAAAGGTGGCTATTTTGTTTGGTGAGTTATTGGAATGAGTAATTTCCAACCACAAAATCCTCTGGCTAAATCCATCAATTGCACCATGGATAGGAAAGCCCTAACACTTAAGTTTGTCATATCCATCGATATGCCAGGAATAGTTAGGCCCAGGATTCTGATATACTCGTCTTTTTAAGCGATGCGATCCATCTCCTTTAAAAGATCTTGAACAATTACTCTGGGAGTTAGAAGATTTCCTGCCGAATATGACCCGACCAGTCACACCTTAATCTTATATAAAATGGGGAAGTTAGGCTACAGTAACTCAGTCACGAATCAGGTGTGATGCCCGCAGGCGAGAGACGAAATAAAACGTACACTATTAAAGGTGTGGGATCTGGTTGGTGTAATGAGCGAGCCCTCTGATTTGAGTTACAAAGTCAACTCTTTGTAGACCTTAATTGGTCGTTCACCACTAGTTTACAGCTTTAACTTACCTTTCCCACAGTTGCCACAAAAGTTGCAATTGTTGACATTTCTTCCGCAGTTGCTGCAAAACACCCTGACGACAAAACCATGTGCAGGAACAAAATGGTGGTCGGGTCAAGGCCGAGTTAAAACTGGACATAGTTTTCGTTCTCTGACCCCTGACCGTTTAATCTTGTTTTTGATGTCAGGATTTTGTAGTTGATGTGAGTAATTTGTATTTGATGTGAGCAATTTGTTTTTGATGCGAGTAACTTGTATTTGATGTGACAATTGTGGGCCACCATAATTTACACCTTGTTTCCGTTACTCAAATTTATTTCCACATTTAATATTTTAAATTAAGATCACAGTTAGCCTATCAATCAACCATTTTTTCAAGAAATAGCACTGAATGCTCATGAAGTTCCATCAAATAGATTTCAATGATCACCTAAGATTAATTAATTTAATTCCCTTGTAGAAATTAAGTATACTTTAAGTATACTTCAAGTATACTTTATATGTACTTCTCAGAAAAAAAGTACATTTGAAGTATACCTCGTTTGTATTTCCAGAAAAAAAGTATATATTTGACGAATTTACTTCATTTATACTTCAAATACTTAAGTATACTTTAAGTATACTTCTTCAAACTTCAGTGCTTGTGAAAAATAGTTTCGCAAAGAAAAGTGTACTTTAAGTATACTTTGAAACTTAAAGACACATTCTGATCTGAGGATCTAAGAAGGTTTGTCCGGATCTTGAAAATCACTACAAGACAAAAGTATACTAAAAGTATGCTTTAAGTATATATAATTTAACTTCAAAATACTGTTCAGATCAAATCAGTTTTCTTCTATTAAGGACACAGTTAAGATCATGTAAAGATTTCTTCAGAGTGGTGAAGTATATAACAGGTTTCTAGATACACAGGGCACACATTAGCTGTTCAGTCGACTTCCTTCGTAAGAAGATCATCCGCCGATCCCTGGGCGAAATGGCAAAGTCGCACAGTTTCGGGCATTTCTTTAACGTCTTTCGTGGAATTTTTGCACTTGGCAGTAAAAGATACTGGATGTAATTAAGGCCGGGGTCGTTTAACCTCCTTTTTTTACAAGGACCTTAAGAAATAGAACAAGAACTCGAAGCAAAACTATCGCTCATCTTTACGTTCGAGGAAAGAAATGCATATATGAAGGTGTTGAATTACCGCTGACTTCCAGTACCGTCGGAACATATACGGGATCTTGTGGATTTCCTAATACGGTCATGTGTGAATCATTTACAGCATACCTAACTTCCATATATGGTTTTGGCGGGCGATACAGATTCGAAGCAACCAATAGGAACATTCGTTGAGCTTTGCCGAGAGTGTCTTCAAGATATTTATATGCTTGGAATATTACCTTTAATTTATCTTCACAATTCGAGTACAATATGAGTGGAACTTGAAAAGAAAACAAAAGAAGTACACCATGACTGAATTTTGACGATACAAGTAAGTTTTGGAGTAGAAAATGTATCCGTTCCAGTCGTTTCAATATATATCGATGCTTCTTTGCGAGCCATTTGCGAATGAA